AAATCAAAATCAGTGGTGCCCATATTGCGCAAACAGAGTTTCCCATACTATTGAAGATGCTAGACAAATTGCAATTAGTCGAAATGGAAAATGTCTTTCAACAGAATATATTAATAGTTATTCATATTTATTCTGGTATTGCTCTAAAGGATATGAATTTCTTGCAAGTTTGCATCATATCAAAATTAGTAACTCTTGGTGCTCAAAATGTGCAAAAGTAGCTCGTCATAGTATCGAGGATGCTAAAAAAATTGCAATTAGTCAAAATAGAGATTGCATATCTACAATTTATTATAATATTCACTCATCTTTACTATGGTGATGTGAAAATAACCATATATTTACTACTACTCTCAATGCTATTAAAAATCAACACACCTGGTGTCCTTTTTGTTCAAAGAAACGTGAGAATTTATGTCGCAAAATCATAACAAAATATCTTGATTCACCTTCGCCAATTCATAAACCTGATTTCTTAAAAACTCCAGAATACCCAACTGGACTAGAACTTGATATTCTATACTATGATTATGGCTTTGCGATTGAAGTGCAAAGCATACAACATGAACGTCAAATCAAATTCTTTCATCCAAATTTTGAAGATTTCGAGAAACAGCAAACTCAGGATCAACTCAAGGAAGAACTCTGTGAAGAAAATTGGATAGCATTAAGATATGTTTGGTATTATGAAGACCTATTCGAGAAAATTCTAGTTATCCTTCGAGAACTAGGTCTTATTTCTTAACTGTAATTATTCAATATCTGTATTTAGTAGATAACCTTTTTCGATCAATGTGGTGCGAATGTATAAAAGCAAATCACATGTATGCGGGACTTCGATGAGGTCTATGCCTTCTCTTTTATATATATCCCACTTTTTTTGATCACGCTTTCGTTGTGCATCTAGATCAGCCTCGCCATTAGAATAGAAGTGTTTTGAAACTAATCGATAGTGTTATACTCCTTGATACTCCCATGCCAGACGCAATTTCTCGTTATATCCATCAAGTCTGAGTCCACCTAAAAATTTATCCGAACATGGTGAGAACTTCTTATCTAATAAATCCTCAAAAATGTATCTATAGTATCGCTTATTCTTATTGTGAAAACAAAGTGGACACCACTCAAATTTCGTTGCAATCAATAGAAACAGGTACTCAAACTGATGCAGTCCATTTTCACAAGTCCAGAAGAATACATTCTGATTATTTATTCACCCAGTTTTAGCTAAGATACTTTCACCACATCTTCCAGCATATTGTTGCGCTCTGTCAAATTCATTATTAGAAACACGAATAAAATATATCGATCCAGAGGGGTGATATTTTGTATAAACTCATTAGGTGGGTACTCAACCTTTTCAGGATTCTTGATTACTTGGAGCTCCTCTCTCTTAAAAGATCTTTTGAGATTACGACCTATTAAATGTTTAGTTGAATCAATTGGCTCATCCTCAAGATAGTATAAGACTGGCTATGGTGGATTTTTACCAACAATAACTTTTTTGATTTTATAGATACGCAATGACGACTACAGGTCAGTTTTTCTATGCATATACCCTCCTTCTAGCTCACTGGGTTTTAATAGATATCTTACTGTGAGCACCTTCTGTAATTGTGGCTCATCTTTTCCAATAGGTCTTTTAGGTTTGGTAGATACTTTAGGTATTACTTCTCCCAATGTCATTGCATATATTGGCAACATACCTATTAATCGAGTTTTATTATTATTCATATAGTCAATAATTTTCTGAAGTATCTTGTTCCATAATTTCGAGCATTCACCTTCTTTAAGTTTTCTCTCTATGGTATATTGAATTTTGTATATAAGTCTAGCCAAATCTT